CGTTCATTCGTCCTCATCTGCTCACACAGACTCATGTTCGTGCTGCTGTTGTTCAGCGTATTCTTTTGTACTACTAGTGCTTAGTGTATTCTTAGTTTAGTGCATTTTTTAGTTCATATCTTAGATCTTATTACCGTTTTTTTCTTTTACAATTGATACTTTTGTTGAATGTAACTGGGACCCTGTGTACATACAGTATAAAGCAAGTATTTCTTTATAATACTGAAGTCAAGAAATACTACTTTATTTTTTATAAAAACAAGTATTTATGTTTAATGGAGTCAAGAAAAAACATTTTATTAAATATGTATTTTTTTCCTGAAATAGATTTAAGTTCAACTTTATATGTCAGGAGATACATTGTTGATGTTCCCACTTTCAATAAGGTATCGGCAAAGCTCATTGTAATTAGTGGCGGAGGGTTGTTGTCAGCAGCTGCTGAAAGTAACTAATAAAGTAACTTGTAATCTAACTTAGTTACTTTCCAAATCAAGTAATCAGTAACTTAACTAAGTTACTTTTTCAAAAAGTAATCAGTAATTTGATTAAAGTTACTTTTTCAATGTAACTATGCCAACACTGGTGAAGGGTGGCAAAAATGGCATAAAAGGCTAAATATTTCAAAAAGCTCAAGTTGCACGAATAACAAAAGTCATAGCAGGATGGTCCTGAAGGAGCTGAACGTTTTGATAAATGACGTTGAAATAGCACAAAAATTGTGGAACGAGAAAGATGTTGAAAACCATATAAAAGAAAAATGGATCACAATAGTGTGAATGCTTCATAAGCATTCATACAAATAATAAAATCTTGAAAAAAACAGGAATGGTTTGATAAACCATTCATTTAAACTTTTAGCCAAAACAAACAAACAACAACAAAACAACAACAATTAAAAAAACGTTATTCAACTATCCATTATCTTTACCCACTTCATCCTTTCAGGGTTGCGGGGGTCACTGGTGCCCGTATCCAGCCATCACTGGGCTGGGGACACACCCTAGACAGGTGGCAATATTTCTAAGGATTACTGTTGATCTTTTTTCAGCCAGCACCTGCAGAGGATTGTTTCAACCCCAACCCAGAAACATTCAAATAACAACTCTGCTGCTTGTTGAGGTCAGTACATTCAGGATAATCCAGAATGTGTTCAGACTAGAGCTGTGATTTC